TGGCCCGCCTAGGTGCGGATTCGGCCGTGCAAGCCACATGCGCCTCTTCCGCCTCTGATCTTCTTGACTATGTCTTGACACCAGGCCCAAGTGGGAGGGGGGATACGGTAGATGCTGCACAAATCTACCCTCACCTTAAACTAATTCACGCATAAGCCACCGTGCCTTCTCCCAGCCTGCTGTAGAGCATACGATGGACGTCGTCGAAATCGACAGTCGAACAGTTTCAAGAGCTTGTGGGGAATGTGCTTCAGCAGAGGCACTGCAGTATCGGCCCTTTTCTCCGCACTAGTCTGAGGACGGTCGAACGGTCGGTAGGGAGGAGGACTTATCAGAGCAAATAAAAGCATTGAAGAATGACTGACCGAGACAGCGGACATTGATATGGCAACCGGTTGGGGCTTGACTAATGTCCTCTTCCCACTCCGCCTAATTCGTCCTTAGTTGCCCGTCATCGTTGCCATAGTTCTGCATATATTCCATAGGTCAAGCGAGTTCAAGAGCTGACGCACACTTATAAGTCCACAAGCAGACTCGGCGGCTTACCGGGCGGTGTCCGTCAATGCGGGATGAACCAGATGAATACATGTCACGTTCTCCGGTGCAGAAGAACAACCCCAACATCTTGTCGAGCATTGTCTGGCCAGGGTTTCAGCTCGCCGAATCTCCTCCTCATCCAAAGAGCAGAGTAGTAGCACCAAGTCTCGAGGATAGGCATTAGCCATCTCTTCTGGGTGGCTTGATATATCCACGCGGCGATTTGTCTGAACATGCAGATAGCCTTATTTGAGACGAGGGTCTTACACTTTACTTGGATGATCTTTTTCAAGCAACGGCAATCAAAAAGGTCCTGGCCAGAGATGCGGCTGGTTTTGGTGGCCACTAAATAGGCAAACTATTTTGACGATCCAATTCACTTGCGGCATCAAATTTTTTTGGCCTTCGCGTGTTGCTGAAAAAAGGCAGTAGTATGGATTTTCCCGTGGATTTTCGACGTCCCCATAAATTAAAAAATATTTTGTAGAAGACATGGTCACGGACATTATCCGGCAACAAATCACGTCTTCTTCAAATTGCGTACTCGAAAAAAGTGAACATTTGAAGTTTTAAGTTCGTCAATTCTCGAATGATTTTGAGTTCAATCTGCCCTTGCATTTTCGTTTATGCTTTACAGTCCGCCAGCCATATACTTTCCTTGTAGGAAAAATCATGCATTCCTTTGCGTCACTAAGAAAATACCATATAGGACTCATTGAATTTTTCAATGCGTGTGTGAACTATCTTGCATACTCCATGGTGGACAGAAAAGATGCCATTTGAATAGACGCTTCACGACCTTAAAGAATCACACGATTGCAAACCTTCAAAAACTAAAAAATACCCCTTCTTTGGGTATGAAATTTAGTGAAGATGTTATTTGTTGTAAATAACCATAGGAAAGGATATTCTGAGCATGTTTCCTATAAAATATGTTTGAATTTAAAAGGGCATCGAAATCAGTGGGAAAGACGCACACTACATAAGCAGCCAATTTTTTTATCGGGCGCGGTTTTTGCAGACAACAGGACAAAAGTGCATTCAAAAGCACCCTGGCGTGACCAAAGTATCTTGGGATGTTATTACAACTGCACTTAAGTAATCCTTAATCTTAACACTTCAGAATTTCAGTTAACATTTCATGTGATTGGTCACTGACTACACTTATACTTTATTAGCATAGGATTGAAAGAGGGCCATGTACTACGATTCACGGTGCAGCATTCCACGTCACTTTTAGAGCGAAACTACATTCCCTACCTCTGCTCGACATACAGCCTTACTCGGGCTCCCTCCGCAAGTCTAAGAGCCAGCTACTAGAGACTGTGTCGAGGACATGAGCAACGCTCACAGAAGCAAGCCGTCAAGGCTGAGAATTCTGCAGGCTAGACGTCAAACGACGAATTAGCATACGAGTAGCTTCGCGACGAATGCTGCAGAAAGGTCTGTAAGGTTCTTTCGCAAAACGAATGGTTGGCCGACTGCCGATCGAAACTCACAGGGCCATTATTAACCCGACCTAGGGCGTGAACGACTTTTCAGCGCGCCCTGTCATACCGACTTCTTTATGGCCCCTAGGTCTGTAATTTAGGTGGTAGAGGTCCCAGCAGAGGACACAGGCAGCGAACGCGTTCGACAAACGGACCCAGCGAGGAAGAAGTAAAGTGCAGATGAAGGATGGTGGAGAAGTGGCAGAAATGATGACGTGTGGAGGCACTCCTGCGAACCGTCCCGGCAGTAAAGGTTCGAATAATATTCTCCAATAACGTGCCGAAGGTAAGGATAGATTTCCAACTCAGGTCTTATCAATGTGCGCCTACTCCTTCACTTGCTCCTTTGGAGCAGATTATACTGGTCGCGCGAGTCGGCGCCTATCCAAGAGAATACGAGAACACCTCCCGGCATGGCTGGGAAAAGGCCAAACTAGGAGCACAAATAGCCCCATTCTCGCGCATGTTTTCGATTCCGGGCACCATGTGAACCCCGACAACGCTTTTTCGTATGATTTACAAGGTCCCATCGAGCTACCCTAAGCTGCTGTGCCAGCGCCTGTTAGCAACAGCAGACGTGGCCGCCGTCAGGTTAAGAAAACCGATCTTGTGCGCGCAGAAGAACCACGTCCAGGATCCGCGCCCAGGAGTCGGCTAACCATGCAACGCTCCGCGCGCCCTTCCGCTCACCTAGTCCCTGGCATTGTTATTACCCCCACCCGCTTGTGTTTTATGACGAAATCTAATCGATTTTTTAAATTATTGACATGTCTTTACTTCTACCCCGTTCCTATATAAATGTACTGGACTGGCGAGAATTCACCGAAAATAAACGTATGCTTGCCAACTGGTCTTCCACACACCCAATTTATTTACTCTGCCCTGTAAAGCTTTGCTCCTGCGACGGAGACACTCTTCATGAAGACTTGGAGCGCAAAGTACTTGTCGAAAGACACCAACACTCAGCATCCAGTGGGTCGACTGCGCAACTAGCGTCACGGGTTAAACATGCAGTCCAATGTACCTGACTTGTAGGACTTGTGCACCGTTCCATTTACAATGTCGTCGGGTGCTGTACTGATGCAATTAAGCCCTCGTACCGTCGTGGGTAGCGTTGGCACATATTCTGTAGAGGTTGAGAAGTTGGCTACTCAGACCCTTGCACCTTCTTGACTGATCAGCAGCGTGATGACGGATTTGGTGGTGGT